GTCGGTGTGTGTTTTCAAATGGCAACCCATCTTTTAATGAAGCCCATGGGGAAGTGATGGGGAATGTGCCTGTGATTATCAGGAAGCTTTCCATGGATCCCTCCTTTAAAAACTAGGTGCGTCGTATGGTCAGGTGCATCTTATGGAGTGAAAAATATGGTAATATCCCACCTTTCCTGCTCTTGTGAGGAACCCAAGGCAAATTACATAGTCCTCCTTCCACTCCATTTTATCCTTACAACCTACCCTGTGAGGTAGGTTAGGCTGAAAATGAATGACTAGCCCAAAGTCACTCAGTGAGCTTCAAGGCCAAGTGGGCATTAGAAGATGGATCTCCCAGGGCCCCAGTCTAACACTCTAACCACTGCATCTACACATCACACACAGTTTCCTATCTCAGCGGCACCACTTCCCATGCTGTCTCCACTCCCCAGGAATAGGGTTAGAGCAATAGGAAGGGGGGGGGGGGGGGGGGCAAAAATCACCTTGTTTCTCACAAAGTTAAATAACCTTCCAGAAGTGGAGTGACACCAATTTAACACTACTCTAAAACCAAATGCATGTTTTTTAAGTGAGGGAGGTTCCAGGCTGAAGCAAACAAACTGAAGATTAATTCTAAGTATATTGATTCTATCAACCTAGCTAATATAGCCAAGAAGAAAATTTTTTGTGTCCTGTAGCCTGTCATTTCCTGAGTTCTATCTAGAATTTCCTTCCACAATGTTTGAATGTGCAGATATGACCAAGCATCTGGGGTACATCTGCAGCACCTCCCAGCCATATTTGCATATACTAGATTGGATTCAAATTTAAGTATGTGCACCTTCTCAGCCCCTTGTATTCACGGCAGTTTTTCCTGCCCCTGAATATGTTATACAGAGAACCAAGAGAACTTGTTGAATGTGATGGTCTGAGGAATGAGGGAATAGAGGTGATGTGGCAGAGGCACTTTTCATGAACATCACTCATGGAAGGTGCTTCAACCCAATTTTGGATAGGGGTCCTTCTCTTCCCACTTAACTCCCCTGGTCCACAGCCGAGCCCCTTCAAGATGGGCTTTGGTCCTCCTGCATAGAATTTTTGGAGGGTTAGAGGTACTGCCATAAATAAGTCTACTTCCACTAGCCCAGTTGCACACATCTACATCTGGAAACAACCTGTTTTATGTACTCAGGTTCCACTGAGAAACTGTACTTTAAAAAAATCTTCTAGAACTGCACTTAGTGTGGGAGGTGTCTTATTAGGAAAAAAAAGTTTCATCTGGCTCCTGAAACTATTTAATAGGAGGAAAGCAGAAACAACAAAAGAGAAAGGGCACACACTTCAGAAGTCCTAAGGTTATACCTCCAAAACTTGATACTAAAATGAGCAATCACATAACAGGAGGTCAACCTATTTAAAAGCTAGAGAAATGCGGCAGCAGACAAAGAACAAGCTGAAAGTACCAAAGCATATCATGTTCAGGTAATCTTCAAAAGTGAGCTTTTCATTTCTATATATTAAGACCTATGTTTTGTGGCTTGAAGAACTGTATAAATAAAGCTAAAAGACTGGCCCCTTAGATGTCATTTCACAGAAGTCTATTCAGCTAATAAAAGCCTCAGAGCACGCTCACCTTAACACAAAGTGGTGTTTGTGCTCCCCCTGGTGTTAAAATATAGTACAGAGTCCTAAGAACAGCTCATGTAAAAAGTAAAAAATATAGAAACAAAGAAACAAAGCGAGTCAGAAGGGGTCTCCCGGGCCTCTAGTCCAACCCCTGGTTCGAGCCGGTTCTGCTCATGTAATCCCCAACGTGTGGTTGGCCAATCTTTCCTTGAACACCTTCACCTCAACCACCTCCCTTGGAAGCCCATTCCATATCCTAGAGGTCCCAACCATCAGAAAGTACTTCCCAACATCTTATCTGAAGCCTGGTTCCTTGAGTTTTGCCCCACTGGAATGAGTCCTGCCCTCCACTGCAAGGAGGAACAGGTCACAGCCCTCATCCACATGACATCCCCTCGCTAAAAGATGCCCTCAGAGTCTCCTCTTCTCCAGGCTGAAAAGACCCAGCTCCCTCAATCTCTCCTCATATGTCATCCCTCCCAACCCAGCTCCCATTTTTGCAACCCTGCACTGAACCAATTCTAACCTAGTTATGTCTCTCCTATAACGTGGAGCTCAGAACTGGATGCAGTACTCCAACTGTGGGCACACCAGAGTTGTGTAGAACAGTATCAACACCTCCCCAGATCTGAAAGTCATGCTTTTGGCTATACATCCAAGGGTGGCGTTTGCCTTCTTAACCACCACGTCACACTGCTGGCATCCCTTTCACAAGTGCTGCTCTCTAGCCACTTGCCCCCCATCCTGTACCTGTGACACCTATTCCTGTGCCTCAAGTGCAAACCCTTGCACTTATCCACTTTGAATGCCATTCTAATTCTAATGTCCCCTGCCCACTTCCACAGCCTGTCCAAATCCTTTTGGATCTGGATCACCTGCTCCTCAGTCGTGGCCACTGCCCCCACTTTGGTATCATCTGTGAATTTAGTCAGCAGACTGGTTAATTTTTTTATTTAGAAAATTTGTAGGCCGTCCATCACTGTCGTCTCGGGATGGCTTACAACATTGTTTCAAATCCTAAATAAAATAAATTAACTATTCCACAACTGAGCATAAAGGTAAAGGTTTCCCTTTGACGTTACGTCCAGTCATGCCTGACTCTAGGGGGTGGTGCTCATCTCCATTTCCTAGCCGAGGGAGCCAGCGTTTGTCCGCAGACAGTCTCCGTGGTCATGTGGCCGGCATGACTAAACACCGAAGTGCACGGAACGCTGTTACCTGCCCACCGAAGTGGTACCTTTTTATCTACTTGCATTTGCATGCCTTTGAACTGCAAGGTTGGCAGGAGCTGGGACGGAGCAACGGGAACTCACCCCGTTGTGCAGACTCGAACCGGCGACCTTTTGATCTACCATCCCAGCAGCACAGTGGTTTAAACCACTGCACCACCTGCAGTCCCTACAACTGAGCAGAAACGAATAAGTTAAATAAATTGAATACAATCTCCTCCTGGTCACTGATAAAAAGGTTGAACAGAATCAGTCCCAGAACTGACCCCTAGGGGACTCCACTCATCACCAGTTGCTATCCTGATGATTCCCCATTGTTTCCCCATGCGTCAGCCATGCCCTAATCCATCGGACAGTGCATCAGTCTATCCCAATATACAACATTAAGCATGGCGGTTTGCAATAGAATTGCGGTTCAGTAGTACAGCAAATGCTGTGCATGTAAAATGTTCCTAGTTCAATTTGCAGCAAGTTCTGACAGGGCAGGAAAAACTCGTAGCTGAAATGCTGGAGAAATGCTAACTAGGCATGCCTACACAGTACTGGGCTAGATGACTGAAGGAACTGACTCAGTAAAAGGCAGCTTGAACCTTAATCCAATTGGGCAGGACCCAGATTATTTGCATGTTTCTCTTTGAAACCAACAATTGATGACAAATCTTTCATAACAATTTCAATTGCACCTAAGTGCAATTAGCTTAGACTGGATCCATCTCAATATCTGGTAATTATTTTTTTCCCTTCAGCTGTAGAGGAAAGACCACATTCCTCCTAAGTGGAGAGCCCATCCACTTGGATTTCCTTTACTTTGCATGATACAAGCAGTAAAATTGCACTGCAGCACCTAAAGGCCATTCTTAATCAAGTCACAAAATTCAACCATTCAGGAAAAGCATGTGGTACAGTCCTCTGAGAATGTTATAATTTCAGAATGCAAGTGGGAGAAAAATACATGTTTGAGTTCTCTTCCAGGTGAACATTTCTCTTCATGTGGAAAGATCAGGTAGAATGTAGGGGCATTCCTTTCAAGTGTTTGCCTTGGATATGAATTGTTTCAGACATGAAACATGTTAACCCATGAGACACAATAACCTACCTAACTTCTAATCTGCTGCAGTCTAGAATTATTGTATCACATCCTTCTGCTCAACATTCAAAGTTGCACTCAGACAGAGGTGGCTCTTTGCTAGAACACTGCCACCTGTTTCTGTGCATGCCATCCTTGCAAAACTGTGCAGTGATGGGGTATCTATACCAAGTCAGTCATACTGATTGTTGCTTTGGTGATCGAGTGTTGGGGGCCCAACATAGCACTGGAGCTGTAGGACTGAGCTGTTACAAGCTGCCATCTTAGTACAGCAGCCTCCCACAACCTGATGCCCTCTATATGTTCCAGGTGACAGCACTCAGCATTTCTGATCATTCTTAAAGTGGAGAGGTTAAAGTCGAAAGCATCATGCTAGGAAAGGAGATGCAGATAATCAGTGAACCAGACTAAAACCACAACAGGACAGTGATACATAATCAGGTGAAAACAAAATTCTAAGGCAGAGTTCAAAGCAAACCTAAATGCCATTACACAAGCAATACCTTTGATCTTACAGCAAACAAATATTCCTCCATATTTATTTTGTGTGAAGTATAAAACGTTATGTTCAAAGAAAAATACACAAGAATGCAAATGCAAATAACGACTGAAGCAAAATTAAAATGTTCACTGTTTCAAATGAGTATATGGAATGTTGCAGAAATAAAGCACAGAAAATCTTACCTGAACCAAGGATAAACAAAGTTTTCCAGGACTAGCTCAAATACCTGCAGAAAATTAGACATTAAACATTAAATGACACATTAAAATGAACCAATCAAAAGCGCCACCCATGATACATTTTGCACAAATCCTAGTCTAGGATCCAAAAATACATCCCAGGTCAAATAATACTGAACATTCTTTTGCTTACACCCCTCAAAGAACACTCCTTCAACAAAGGTCTTGCATGAATGAATTCTAAGCTTCTACTCCCTCACTTCTCTTCACTGGGATTTCCCATGGTAAAGACAAGGAGAGGGGAGACTTACATTACAGAATCAGCACGCCTGGCTTCAGACAGAAATGACACATTTGTGCCACCTTTTAACTTGTTTTTAATATCAACAGTGTGACTGCAGCAACCTGAACCTATTGCCTACCCCACTGATATAATGCCTGTAAAAAAATGAACACCATAAAAGGCTGAACAAAAAGGCTAAGCTAATATAATAAGACCAGTGTGTCAACTTTCCCCTTCATGGATCACTACCTTGCTGTGGCGAAGGGGCTTGTGTAGCTCAATGAAGCTATGAGCTATGCTCAAGATGGACAGGTCATAGCAGAGAGCTCTGACAAAATGTGATCCACTGGAGAAGGAAATGGCAACCCACTCCAGTATCCTTGCCACGAAAACCCCATGGACAGTATCAATAGGCAAAATGATATGACGCCAGAAGATGAGCCCTTCAAGTTGGAAGGTGCCCAATATGCTACTGGGGAAGAGCAGAGGGCTAGTTCTAGTAGAGCCAGAAAGAATGAAACAACTGGGTCAAAGCCGAAAGGACACTCAGTTGCCGATGTATCTGGTGGTGAAAGGAAAGTCCGATGCTGCAAAGATCTCTACTCAACAGGAACCTGGAATGTAAGATGCATGAATCAAGGCAAGTTGGATGTGGTCAAACAAGAGATGACAAGACTGAACATCAACATCTTAGGAATCAGTGAACTAAAATGGACAGGAATGGGTGAATTTAATTCAGATGACCATCAGGTATACCACTGCGGGCAAGAATCCCTCAGAAGAAATGGAGTAGCCTTCATAGTCAATAAAAGAGTAGGAAAAGCAGTACTGGGATACAATCTCCAAAATAACAGAATGATCTCAGTTTGAATCCAAGGCAAACCATTCAACATCACAATAGTCCAAGTCTATGCCCCAACCACTGATGCCGAAGAGGTTGAAGTTGACTGGTTCTATGCAGGCCTACAACACCAAAACAATGATGTCCTTATCATCGTGGGGGATTGGAATGCTTAAGTAGGAAGTCAAAAGACAACCGGAATAACAGGCAAGTTTGGCCTTGGAGTACAAAATGAAGCAGGGCAAAGGCTGGCAGAATTTTGTCACGAACATACGCTGGTCATAGCAAACATTCTTTTCCAACAACCCAAGAGATGATTCTACACAGGGACACCCCCCCAGATGGTCAACACAGAAATCAAATTGACTATGTGCTCTGCAGCCAAAGATGGAGAAGCTCTATACAGTCAGTAAAAACTAAACCAGGAGCTGACTGTGGCTCAGATCATGAGCTTCTTGTTGCAAAATTTAGGCTTAAATTGAAGAAAGTAGGGAAAAGCACTAGGCCACTCAAGTATGGCCTAAATCATATCCCTGATGAATATACAGTAGAGGTGACAAATAGATTTAAGGAACTAGATCTGATAGACAGAGTGCCTGAAGAACTATGGACGGAGGTTCACAACATTGTACAAGAGGTAGCAACTAAAACCATCCCAAAGAAAAAGAAATGCAAGAAAGCAAAATGACTGTCTGAGGAAACTTTACAAATAGCTGAGGAAAGAAGGGAAGCAAAGGGCAAAGGAGAAAGGAAAAGATACACCCAACTGAATCAGAATTCCAGAGAATAGCTAGAAGAGATAAGAACGCCTTCTTAAATGAACAGTGTAAAGAAACAATAAAATAGGGAGGACCAGAGATCTCTTCAAGAAAATTAGAGATATGAAGGGAATGTTTCATGCAAAGATGGGCATGATAAAGGACAAAAATGGCAGGCACCTAACAGAGGCAGAGGAGATTGAGAAGAGGTGGCAAGATTACACAGAGGAACTATACAAGAAAGAGCTTAACATTCCTGATAACCACGATGGGGTGATCACTGACCTCAAGCCAGACATCCTGGAATGTGAAGTCAAATGGGCCTTAGGAAGTCGGGGCAACAACAAAACTAGTGGAGGAGATAGTATTCTAGCTGAGCTATTCAAAATTCTAGAAGACAATACAGTTAAGGTGCTACACTCAACATGCCAGCAAATTTGGAAAACTCAGCAGTGGCCACAGGCTTGGAAAAGGTCAGTTTACATTCCAATTTCAAAGAAGGGCAATGCCAAAGAATATTCAAACTACTACACCATTGCACTCATTTCACATGCTAGCAAAGTTATGCTCAAAATCTTACGAGCTAGGCTCCAGCAGTAAGTGGACCAAGAACTACAAGAAGTACAGGCATGATTTCAAAGAGGCACAGGAACTAGAGATCAAATTGCCAACATACGCTGGATCATGGAGAAAGCTAGGGAGTTCCAGAAAAACATCTACTTCTGCTTCATTGACTATGCTAAAGCCTTTGATTGTGTGGATCACAAGAAATTGTGGCAAGTTCTTAAAGAGATGGGAGTACCAGACCATCTTATTTGTCTCTTGAGAAACCTATATGCGGGTCAAGAAGCAACAGTGAGAACTGGACACGGAAAAGCAGGTTGCTTACCTGTAACTGATGTTCTTCGAGTGGCCATCTGTGCAGTCACACATATGGGTACTGCGCCTGTGCAGTGCCTTTGGCCGGAAGATTGAAAGCTAACGGTTTTTGGCGGGAAGCTCCGCTCCCCTCCCCCATGGGCTATAAAGAGCGGAGCGTCCTCCATTTGTTCAGTCTTTGATGACCGAACGTGCGCCCCCTTGTGGAAAAATTCTCAGCATGAGATAGGAAAAAAGGGATCGGTACCAAGAAAAAATGGGAAACTTTCAGTACCGATGAATGAGTCCACTCACCGACACCGAGCGGGGCCGGCGGGTGGGTTGTGTGACTGCACAGATGGCCACTCGAAGAACATCAGTTACAGGTAAGCAACCTGCCTTTCTTCGTCGTGGCCTCTGTGCATCACACATATGGGTAGATTAACAAGCTTACCATCAAAGGAGGAGGGAAGGTGTCCTCATTGTAGGACGGAGGAGAGTACAGTTCTACCGAAAGAGCAGTCCCGTCGAGCCCGAACATCGAGACGGTAGTGCCTGGCGAAGGTGCAAGGGTTCGCCCAAGTAGTGGCTCGGCAGACGTCATCGATCGGAACTCCGGATGCGAATGCAGAAGACGTAGCGACAGCTCTAGTGGAATGGCCTCGGGGAACTGTAGGCAGTTCGAGCTTAGCTAACTGATAGCACAAGGTAATAGTGTGGACTATCCACTTTGAGAGCCTTTGAGGAGTGACTGGGTCGCCCTGATCTCTAGCCAAATATTTAATGAACAGTTTATTGGATCACCGAATAGACTCCGTTCGCGATCGATAAAAGGCTAAACAACGCTGAACGTCGAGGGAGTGCAAAGATCTTTCCAAGGGATTTGACGGCGATGGAAAAAAGGCAGGCAGTACAATGTCTTGTCCTGAATGGAAAGGTGTAGAGACTTAGGGCAAGAAAGATGGGTCGAGACGTAAAATGACCTTTTCTCTGTGGAAGTTTAGATAAGGAGGGTCGATGCGGAGGGCACAAAGCTCACTAGCTCTCCGGGCTGACGTGACAGCTACAAGGAACGCCGTCTTCCACGAAACTAATCGGAGATCCACAGTCGCCAAAGGTTCAAAGGGGGCCCTCATAAGGGCCTGTAAAACTATGGAAAGGCTCCACATGGGCCTAACCAGTCTAATTGATGGATTAAGGTTATACAACTCCAGCAGGAACTGAAGAATGTGTTCAATTGATGAGACAAGTGGGGAGAACGAATGAGACTCAGCAAAGACGGAAAACCGCTTCCATTTAGCTGTATATGACTTTCTTGTGGACGGCTTTAGAGCAGCATCGATAATATGCTGAATCTCAGGGTGCAAGAGCGTTGGATTCGAATTCGACGGGGTCTGTCTCGAACCGGATGGTACAGAGAGATTGTGGCAGTGAGAAGCACCCGCATGGTTGGATTTGAGAATCGGGGCCGAAGCAGTCGAAGTGATCGTTGAAACCGATGAATTAATAGAAGCTGTAGGATTCGAGGCTCTCGAATCCGTCGCCGGCCCCAATGGAAGGTCAATCATTGAATCCACCACGCTGTCAGATTCAATGAGAGCAAGTCCGGGTGACGAAGTGTGCCGTCCATTTGCGTTATAAGATACGGAAGTGTTGGAAGATGAAGAAACTCCCCGCGGGAGATGCCGAGCAGTTTTGCAAACCACGCTTGGCGTGGCCACCAGGGGGCAACTAGTATCCCCGATGCACGGTCGCTCGCTATCTTCGCTATGACCTTCATCAGAAGAGGGATCGGAGGGAAAGCATAAAAGTTGATGTTGTCCCAAGGGATCATGAATGCGTCCCCTAGGGATGCTTGTCCGATTCCCGCTCTCGAACAGTAAGTCTTGCACACCCTGTTCTGTTGCATAGCGAATAGGTCCACATCGGGAAATCCCCAGCGCCTGAACAGGTGGTTGCGCGTGCGAGGATCCAGTTCCCACTCGTGCGAAGTGAAGATGTGTCTGCTGAGAAGATCCACATGCACGTTGTCTGTGCCAGCCAGATGAACGGCCATCAGAGTAACGTGTCTCGGAATGCACCAGTCCCAAATCGTCATAGAAAGCCTGGCTAAGGTCGGTGACTTCGTCCCTCCTTGCTTGTTCAGATAAAAAAAGGTCGCTATATTGTCCGAAGTTATCTGAATGATCCGATGATGAAGGAGGTCTTCGAAAGAACGAAGGGCTTTGAAGACTGCCAGCAGCTCTAGGAAGTTGATATAATTCTTGGACTCTAGACGAGTCCACGTTCCCTGGGTAGATAGGCCAG